TCGTCTCTTCCCCGCACCCGCTGCCGTATGCTTTCGCTTTCGAAATATCACTTTCGTTTATCAGCTTGATTGTATTTGGAGGTGAGCAGAGTTTGTTAAGAAAGAGGGTCGGAGGCGATGTCTGTAATGCTTATTTTAATGTTGATTCGACTTCGAATTTGGTTGTTGTTTTGGTGAATTTGGGATTTAGGATTTTTCTGATCGGTTTGTTGCAGCCTACGATTTTTCCAGACGGAACTTTTGGCAGGGGATCAGTTTGAAGGGAAGAAGATGACGTTTTTTTTTTTTTAATTTCAATTATTATTTTTATATTTAATATATAGAATATAGGTGAAGGGACAAAATTATCCCTGCAAATATCACGTGCAAAGCACATGTTTTAGCATTCCGGTCAAATTTATCGGAAAATTCAGTTTAGGGGGCACCGTGCAACGAATTAACAAGTTTAGGTAAAAACGTGCAAATTTTTTTTGTTTGGGGGTAAAGTGCAAAACGGCCCTTAGTTTAGGGGGCAAACTGCTTTTTACTCTATATAAATTAAAGAAGGAATCATTGATTTTTGGACTTACGATATAATTTGCGATTTCTGGGCATGTGGGAAAATGCGTTAGGGAGTTCCGATGGCGGATTTTTTTCTCGTTAGGTTCCAATGCAAGCAGGAACCAGTGGTCTTTGAGATTTATAGGTATCGGAACATATTTTTATCAAAAATAATAATAACAGTAATAATAATAATAATAATAATAATAATAACAACAACAATAATAATAATAATAATAAATTATAATCATATACTATGGTGGGAAGTTTAGTAGAGACTATGTTTTGTCCTTGTCCTCGCCCGTTCCATCGTTTTGCGTCTTTTCTTTCCTTTGAATTTCTCTCTCTTCGTCTTCTCCACTTCTTCCACGTCTTCTTCTTCTATTTCATTTTTCTTCTACTATTATTTTCTTCATCTTCTTGTTGTTTTCCTTCTTGCTCTTGTTTTTTCTCATCCCATTTGTTTGTTCAACTCCAAATTCTTCAACAACATTAAAAAATTATCATTCATCTTTGTCTTCTTTTTTCCCCTCCATCTTGCTCTTCTTTTTCCTCTTCCTCTTCAAAAATAAAAGTGTTTTCTTTTTCTTTTTCTTCCCTTTTAGCTCTATTATTCCTACATTCTTCCTCTTCACTTGTTGTGTATATCTAACAACAGGTATGACCTTTCCACGTCTGGCTTCTACTTTCCAACCGACCTCCAAAGCAGTGATAGGACCAGATAGTCCGTCCACAGGTGAAACCATGAATTTTTTCTCTTCTTTGTGCACGGAGAATGATATAACCTAATAAACATATAAACAAGGTAAGAAAATAACATAATGAAAATGCATAAATTAAATTGTTACCTTGTCTGGTGTGAGTTCACCAAAAACATGTTTAGCTTGGCGGGTCATCGGCTAGTATTTTGGAGTCAGGCCATCGAAAAAATCTAGGATATTCGAAAACACTTATTGCGTACACAGATCCTTCCGCTCACCCATGCCAATAATCAAATGGTGCAAGCATCAAAATACCCTGGTGCTCCAGCCAAGCGCGCCTCAATGTTTTCAATAAGCACATCATATATAAGTTTTCCCCATGCAAAATCTCCTACTCGCTCCATTTTGTCAACGTGCGGATAAACATACCTTGACAGTTGAAAGTTACCATTTGGCAATAAAAAGGTATTGCAAGCAAAAATACTATACAACCTAATAAAATCCTCAATGAATTGTTGATCGGTCTTAACCATGGTAGTTAATCTCGCGATATATCGCGATACGGTACGGTTTCAATTAAAACGATACAACTCGGGCTTCGTATCGATTTTTCATAAATATCGAAAAATATCGCGATATATCGTATCGTATCGCCGTATCGCGATACGATACGATATATACGATATTTATCCACCCAAAAAAAAGAAAAAAGAAAAAAAAAAAGAAGGAAACTCAATCGGCTGCAAAAAAAAAAAAAAAAAAAACGAATTTGAGCAATCTCTTCAACATCTCAAGATTCCCAAACCTAATTTTCACTCTTCTCTTCAAATTTTTCAACAATCCTCACAATATCTCAACTCTAATATTTAATTTATATTGATTCTTTCGTTTTGTTTGAGATTCAACACCAATTGGAACGGGCTTGCGATCTACAACCCTATTTCTTCAAATTTTCGTTCAATCAGGGCTGGGTTTGTTCGTTTTTTGTCATGGGTTAGTTCAATTTGAGGTGGGCTCGTTGATTTGTGGTGATTGGTTCAAATTTCAGATTAGTTGGGGGGTGTTGTGCTATTTTCAGCATTGGTTGGGGTGTTTCTGCAACTTTCAGCATTGGTTGGGGTGTTTCTGCAATTTTCAGCATTAATTGGGGTTTGCTTGTACAATTTTCAGCATTGTTGGGGTGGTTCTTGCATTTTCCAGCATATTTTGGGTGGTTCATATATATATATATATATATGAGTAAACTGCAAATACTACCCCCGTGTTATCTCGAAATAGCAAAAACCCCCCTATGATAAATAAACTAGCAAAAACCCCCCTGTGAAATTTAGTCAAAAGCAGAATCCCCCCTAGCTGATTTTTTAGACTTGAAATGACAAAATTGTCCCTCAAAATGTATTTATATATATACATATTATATGTATATTTATTCTTTTTAATTTATTTGTTTAGAAATAAAAAAAAATAGTAAACAACTAAATTGATTATTTTTTAAATAAAATAATTAAAATATTTATAAAATATAAGAATTTATTAATTGCAAGACTCCAGGGGTATTTGTGTCTTTTTATATCAAGTCAACCCTCAAATAGTTCCATAGGGGGGTTTTGCTATTTAAATAATTTCACAGGGGAGGTTTTTGCTAGTTTATTTATCACATGGGGGTTTTTGCTATTTCGAGATTACACAGGGGTAGTTTTTGCAGTTTACTCATATATATATTTACCAGTTTAATAGTTGGTTAAATATCTTACGATACGATACGATAAACGATACGGTACGAGATGTGGAGCAAAACGATACGAGATATATTTACGATCCGATAACCATGGTCTTAACTACATACTTCTGTAGTTTTTCAACAATTTGATGACACTTCACTTGGGTCAATTTATCCCAAAAAAACACGTCGACTGAAAGGAGTTTCTATTTTCAGGCTTTTATTGATGGGTACCCCCTTAAACAACAATCCCATCATAATGCAGAACTCCCTAAGGTCAAATACGACGGGGATAGTTTTACCTCCAAACCAGAATGTACGTTTCTCCATGTTGTACGTCTTCTTCAATATAACTGACATCTTTAAGAAACTATGGTACATTTAGGCATGTTTAGGAAATGCCCGAAAAGATTTTCCTCCAAGGCAGCAAAATGTCTAATTGTCATCATTGGCATAATTATGTCCATTTCTTCTTTGAAAGCGCTAGGAGAGCACCTACATGCTTGTTGCGCGTCACACTCTGCAAATGTATTACGATTATAAAGAAAAAAAAAATAATCAGCAAAAATACAATTGTAAAATAATAACAGTACTATGTAGTTATAGTAATTGTACCTGCACTTGCCTGTCTCAACACCATACAACCATATTAACTATACCATTATGTAATACAATATATATTATTTACTTACATCACAAGAAAGTCCATTACCTTGTTTTGATACTGTTTAACAACAATAGTATTGCCATTGTATAATACAACTTATATTATTTAAACACATCTAATGTCCAAAATCAAACATTGTTAGGACAAAAAATAATTTGGGAAAATACTAATATGCAGTTGAATGATATCCAAGGGTGAAAGTGTTCAAAATCATGCAATTCAACAGTAAATGAACAGCTTTTGCAAACATAAACAAGAAAACAACATTTATTGGAGCCATTTGTTCATTTTTTTATTTGAGAAAACTCCAATCTCGCCGATGGATATTATCCACTACTGAAAATGCTCATAACCATTTAATATGAGAATATACAGTTTTTTTTTTTTTTTTTTTTTTGCAAACCTAAGCAAAAAAAAAAAAAAAAAAAAGAACGAAAACAAATTTCAGAATCGATTTCTTAAAAAGAAAGAAAAAGTATACCATGTTTCTCCTTCCTCTTCTTTGCCCGCACTATTCTTCTTCTTCGAAAATGATCACTTTTCTTTCCTTTGTTGCTTTAATGTTTTCCGCCTCGTTGTGGATATTTAATATTTATACAAGCAAAAAAAACTGAAAGACGGGAAGAACCGCAACAGATATTTAAAAAGGTGTGGAGCGTGTCTCCCAAACGGCGCGTGAAAAGTGTGTTGAAAGGTGTATCAGATATTTGCAGGTAATTTTAAAATAAAGTGAAGGGTGTTTCGGACTTTGCCCACAGAACTAGAGAGTTAATTGCATATTTATGTTTGCTCTAAGGACTGACACGCTTGTGAAACGTGGTTGATGACTGACTTGCGTTTTATATTTGCACTTGGGAATTTATCGATACATACCCCATAAAATATATATTTTATCTTTATATTTAAGGGCTTCAAAAATTCTAACTATATTATTTTATTTTTACCCAAGCATTGTAAACTAAAATATAATATCTTTTAAATTATTTGAATTATTAAATATTATATAAAATATTTTTATATAGATTTATTTGGTAAAAAAAAGGCCTCATATTTGTTTCTCGCCTCGGGCCTCACGGTCCCTAGAACCGGCCCCGCATGGGGAATACCATCTGCTCCCAAAATTAGTCGGACGAAACTCAGACATATGTGTTACCCCAAAACAAAAAATAAAATAAAATATCCAACTCAACTAAATAAATAAAATTTCATCTCTTTATATTTGATCTTCTCAATTCTTGCACCACCCATTATTGATCTTCTCAATTCTTGTTTTCTTTTAAGGTTCTTTTCTATTCTTCTACACACCCATTATAATTTGGAGGTGGCCATAATTGAGAGTTTTTGCAATTTCCCACCCCCAGCCTCCACCCCCCACGCCCCATACAAGAAAGATCCTAAATTTGTACAAAAACTGCAAGAACAACAAAACAAAGAAATAATATTATATTTATACCATTGACCAGATCAAACTTCTTACATTCAAAACTTTGGGCTTCTTCTTCTTCTCGGCTGCCATCAGGAAATCAATTGTACGTTATCTAATCTCTGTTTTCTCACAATTCTTTCACGCGCAATTCCACCACCAACTTTCCATATTATTTTTATTAATTAATTTATTTATTTTCTGGAAAAAAAAGTGTTCATCATTTCACATGGGTTCGTTCACATTGTCGATTTCTTCTCTTATTTAATTTGCATTTTTATTCAATTCCATCGTTTGGGTTTTGAAGGAGAAAGTATGAGACGCCAGATTCTAATTTTTCACAAAATTTACTAAATTTATTTGTTTATTTAAAGAACGAATCAAATGTTTTGAATGTTCATCAATTGACCTAGAAATTGCAGCTCAAAAGGGGGATTTAATTTTTTTTTTTTTTTTTTGGGTACGTTTCTTGATTCCAGCTGCTTAACGGTTCATACGTCTCGATCGTCGTTATTTATACCGTCATTTATGTTTTAATGGTACTTTTTTTTGATTAATTTCTTCATGTGTGTATTTCAGATAATCTTGGGGAATTTTCGGGTTTATGCCGTCGAGAATAACTTTTATATCTCATCTAGTTTTATCAAGGCTAGCTGAATTTTCGGGAAAAAACGTCAAATCCACGAGTTTTTACCGTCGAGGAATATTCTATCTATTAGCTCTCGTTGAAAAGTAATTATTATTAGCATGGATCGAGTATGCTCGAGCGGGAGCGATTTAGATTTAGATTTAGACGTCGACTTGGAGAGCGGTGGCACGACAAGCGAGGAAGATGCTAGCGTTTTAAAATGCGAGAATTCGAAGATTCTCTTGTGTAGGAAAAACGGTGGAGAATGTTCGTGTTCGTACGACAAGTGTATAGTTTCTGACGAAAATTTGGGGGCGTTTAGGGAAGAAGGGATGATAAGTTATGTAGATAAGTCGATGGACGATGAAAAGCCGAAGAAGAAGAAGAAGAAACATTCGAAGCCGCCTCGCCCTCCAACGGGTCCTTCGATCGGCGTTTCCGATATGAAATTGTTGAAGGAGATATCCGAGATCAATATGAAGCGTCGGAGATTGGAAAAAATCCGAATGAAGAAAATTAAAAAGGAGAAAACGTCTTCGTTGAGTGCTAATCTCTTCGCCTGTTTGGTCACCGTCGTCTTTGTGCTTGTCATCGTCTTTCACGGTAATTAATTTTTACCGTTTTAATTTTGAATTTTTCGCATTTCTTGAAATGTAATGGTATACTTGTTGATAATATCTTGTATTGTTTGTGTTTTAGTGTAGTTTAATTTCTATTAATTAAGGCCTCGTTTGGTTGGGGAGACTATTATTAACTAAATAATTGGACTTTGTTTGATTTTTGGTATCCCCAATAATTTGTTGGGTCGACCCGCACATATTATGTTATCAGGGCTTATCTTGCCTCGTAATGAGCTTTTTTGTTGGACGTTCTGGGGTCCGATAAAATAATTGGGTTTTTATTAGATTATTTATCTTATCTTGGCAACCAAACAAGGCCTTAGCATATTAATCAATGGCATAAGCTAATCTTCCATATCTGTATTGAATCTTCAGGGATTTTGGGTTCACGAACATGATGCCAATCGTAATGCATCAGCAACTTTTCCAAGTAATTTCGTGATTTTTTCTCTCGGTTCTTTCTATTAATTTTAGCGACCGGCTTAGATATTTTGATCTTTTACTACTCTAGTAGAACATGTCCATGATCAATTGTTTCTACACGACTTTAAATATTTATTTTTAATGATTCTTATGTATCACTACAAGCTCGTTTTCGTTTTTTTTTTCCTTCTAACTCAATAAATGGATGATTTTTTTTATTTATTTTTAGTTTTTTATTTTTATTATTATTAAAAAAGACGATAGTTACTGGTTCCCCAATTCCCCTCCTGGTCTCTCGAAACATGTAATGATAATCATAAACTATATGTTTTCATATAAATGTAGAGAGTGTCGCTGAAAACGATGCATGGCATATCATTCAACGAGTCGACATTTCTCGTGACTTAAACTTGTTATGTGCACGCGCAGTGTAGGAACGTATTTCGCAATACTTGAGCTGTATAACTTACACGGATCTTTACGGTATGCTATTGATTTTTGTTCCTTGTTTTCTAATATGATGTAATTCAAGAAAACCCACAGAGATGAATACATAGACCGACTATAATTCTTCGTTTTCTCTCGACTTTCTTGCAGCTTTTGTTTGTTGTTTTCAAGACTACCGAAAATTTTCCAGCATGAGAAAAGCAAGTGAAAAGAGGAAGTGAAGTTGGAGTACTTGTATGAAAGATGTGATGAATTAACACGACTCGGGCTTTCATTTTTTTTTTTCTTTGAAACTCGTCGTTTATGTTGTATCTCTTGAGTTGAACTCATGCAAGATCTATCAAAATGTTGTATCGAGTTAGAGCATCTCCAACACACAGAATTTTTAGCTTTTTATGTAGATTTTTAAAATTTCAGCTAACCGTATCGAAAAACGGGCTCCTCCTACTTAAATTATGCACGTTGATCTTTAAACCCGTTGATAAAAGTGTTGTGTAAATGAATCGGTATATACGGGTAGTTAAAAGATAACACTAGAGTGGCTTATTTACATTAAACTAAGGGTAAATTACAACCAACCCCCTAAGGTATGGTCAAATTGCGAAAACCCCCCTCTTGTTTGCTTAATTACAACCAACCCCCTCAACTATAAATCTTCTTACACATGCACCCTTGTGGTTTCAAATTTAGTGGAATCTTCGAGATTATATGGAATATTATCACTTTTGTACCCGTTTTATCCCATTCGAACCCTTTATTTTGAAGCAAGATGATCATAATATGTGTTTTTTAGCTTGTATATATCAGATTGTTGTGCATTAAAAACTGTATTTTTACACAGAACGAGTACAAACTAGAGCACATTCCACGAAATCTAGATGATTATGTTGAATTTGACACCATAAGGGTGGATGTGTAAGAAAACATTATAGTTGAGGGGGTAGATGTAATTATCCAAACAAGAGGGATTTTTTTGTAAATTAACCATACCTCAGGGGTGGTTATAATTTACCCTTAATCTAAAGATTATATAGCTTCCTTTTTTTTTGGAGATGCTCTTATAAGTTTTCTGCACATAAATTTTGTAGCAGATACCTATTGTTTTAAACTAAGGTGGTGGTTTCCAAAAGTTCATTTAAAATCAGAAGTTGTGGATTGTGAGAAAGTTGGTTTTAAGTGCTTATTTCTAAAAATTGGGGGAATTTGCAAATTTACCAGAAAATTAACTTAAATAGAAAAAGCAGAATCATGAATTCTTAACAAATTATAGATTAAAGTTGCTCACTTTAAGATAAACAAAAGCAAAAGTTCATTTTGCAAACACTTGAAAATAAATTACAAGCAAAAAAAAACTCATAATCTATTTGTAAAAGCTTTTGCAAACATCACCTAAATAGATGAGCAACAGTAAACAATAGAATTAAGAAGCAAAAAAAAAAGGTTGTGATTGTACGGAACCGTTAATAATTGGAGCCCATCGGCCTTCTTTCGCTAAATTAGGCACAAAATTTGATGGCTAAAACGATGTTTAACAAGTTCAAAAGTCTGGGATATTGATTAATAATAATAAATGACTCCGAATATAAAAGACAATTTTGACGACAAAAACGTAGTCATAGAGGGCAATCAAATGCTTCGTCAGTAATCGAAATTGGCCTGAGATGATGACTCATCAAGATTTGACGGGCTGCGCTCTAGGCCTCCACAATCCAAGCCTGTACTTGTGTGCGTATTTCAGTATCAGCTTTCTCTGCAAATAAACAAAAAAAAAAATATTCAGAACCACAAAATTAAGTTTATTTAATTTAACGATATAATATCAAGATCACGAAATTGTTACTGGATTATATGGACAAAACATATCTTTTATGACAGCCATAATCCGGTAAATTATTTACAAAGAGAATATCGGTCGAGGTCTTTTCGAGACAGTTTGTAATTCTATGATTCTTCATATTTACTAGAAAAAATCGTAACATAGAAATAACAATTATATTATACTTCTAGCGATGTAATATTTTTCAATTACCTGACCAAAATCGACATTAATCAAACACATCGTACCCATCTAATCAATAATCCAATTCAATTTGGAGTTATTTATTTCGTTTATCTATGCCACAGAGCAGACCAAACTCTTAACAATGAGCATGACGAGACCAAAATTTTACGAGGCCAAATGTATCAAAATAAGTGATACAAATTAATTGAATCATATACTATACAGCTAAAAGATTAAGGCCTCGTTTCGTTGCCAAGGTAAGATTAGCCAAGATAAGATTAAAGAATCTGTGAAATCCAATTATATTATTGGACCTTCGATGATCCAATAAAAAACATGCCTAGAAGACAAGATAAGCCACGATAACATAATATTTGCGAGTCGACCCGGCAAGTTATTGGGGATACCAAACATCAAACGAAGTCCTGTTATTTAGTTAATCATGGATAATCTCCCTAACCAAACGACGTCTAACGATATAAGAACATAGCTAAGGCCTACGAGAATCATTTCCATTTCAGAACCTCGTAAATTCATATTGGATCGTACTTCGTTTTTTTCTAAACATTGAACTCACACCATTTCCAGTTTCGGTTTTACAATTAAGTACAATCCGAATAAATCAGCCATAACAAGTTTTTCTATCACGAAGGAACAAATAAAATCATCACTTATAGTTCAATAAGCACAAAAAACAAAAATCATAGGCAATGTTTGGTTACGTTTTCATCTCACTTTAATTCTTTCCCCGAACCACATTTGTTTTGGTTAAGGTTTCCAAAAAAAAATCGCAAAGCAACTTCTAAAGTTTCTCTCTCTGCTACAGTAAAAAAAAACACAAACAAACAATAACTTTATTTTTCAAATTCATCTTCTACAATACATTTTCCAAACGCCTTCAAACATGATTTAACCGTTACCGCTACAGTGTATTTTGTCTCATTTCAACTTATAAACAAACATTACTTTCATTCTCCAATTATTCTCTTGAAACATATTTCCCCAAAATAAAACGAAAAATAACTCCCTAAACGTATCCAAACATTGCCAATAGAAACTATATAAATAACTCCCGAAATTTAAAATTTAAAATGCACCGCCTGCCTCAGACAAGACAACTTTGATCGAGTGTAAAAGCAAAACTCAGATGACCACATAGAAACACATCATATTTATAAATAAAGATCATATTCAAAGATTTATTCGATATTTCGACAAATCCAATACGAAACCAAGAACAAACAAAATATCCCAATTTTCCAAATTCATCACCCAAAAAAGAACACTGTAAATGAAGAATTAGGGTTTTTTTTTTTTTGGTCTTACATCTTTGCAGGGGATTCCGAGTCGCTTGAGCTTGATTGTTCGAGTAACGAGAAGCTTCGGCAGATCTCCGATCTCCGATTCAAGCTTCACCACGTGATTCTCCAATCCTCTCCCCACTCCATTTAAAAACTCCGGTATCCCTACTTTCACTGTAATAACCAAATCAAAAAAAAAAAAATCCATTTTTCTTGATTTCAATTAAATACAATTCCGACATAATTTCAGCCGATTAAACCAGCAGAACCAAAAAAAAAAAAAAAAAAAAGTCAATCAATCGTGTATTCAAATCTTACCAATGTACGGATTGGGTTTTGAGGAGAAATTCGCAACCCTAGAAACAGAACTCGATTGGGCTGAGAATGAAGGCAATTGTTTACTCCATGTTAGGATTTGCCTCAAAGCCATATCAAAATGGGGGAAATTGAAATTAAATTTAAGGGAAGAGGGTTATTGAAGAGTGTATAAACCCTAGAAAACGGTTCCGATTTCTAACTCAAACCACAGAACCGGACCACCGGCTATTTTCTTCTCACTATTTGATTTCCTTTTTCTTTTTTCTTTTATGTTTTTTTTTTTATTTTATTCCCTCACTAGTCACTAGTATATTACTCAAAAATGAGTGTTCATTTTGAATCACAAAGTTCCATTTTAATTTGATTTAGCGTATGTTTTTGCTATTTTATATGACAAAAAAATCTTATGTATATGTAACTTTTTAAAACATGATCGAACATAAAATATGAGTTTTTATGCATAAATACCTGACCAACCATTTTTATTATTTTAGGTTCATGGATTATATTTCTTTCGGCAATAAACTCATCTCTCAAATATGTATTATAAATGAAAGATTATTAGTGAAAACCCCATACTTTATATGGATAAATAAAGATGGATCCCACCCATTTTTCAATATTAGTGAGACCCCCTAATTTAATAATTCGCTACTAATAGAATTCGCCTAATTCCAACTGTATTATTTTATAGAGAATTAACTATAATCATATGATATGATCATAGAAATTTACTCAATACAAAACATTGGAAAAAAATAATAATATAATGAAATTAAAAAAAAAAGAAAAAGAAAAAAAAGATGAC